AGAAGAGATAATTTTTTGCTTTACTTCTTTTTTGCTGTTCTGTGTTTAAAGAAAAATAAGATATAGTAATTTATGATTTTTTGGTTATTCAACTATATATATATATATAAAACCTAAAAAAATTCTTTCGTTTCATATCCTCCATGTGCAAAAATTTTAAAAGGCTTAGCAACCTAGTTCAAAGGTCGTAACTAGAAGAGATAATTTTTTTGCTTTACTTCTTTTTTGCTGTTCTGTGTTTAAAGAAAAATAAGTTTAAGAACTTATTTGTAAATAGCAATAATCTATATATATAATGTATAATAACTGAAATCTGACTATATTTTACAAAATACTAGTCTACTAAAACACAGCCAAGACTGGTCACTTTGTAAAGACTAAAGGTCAGTTTTATAATATTTGATATGGTAACATGAGAGCAAATGTGCCTCATCATTGTAACTTCTGTATTGTTAGCCAGGCACAGCTGAAAGGTCAATAAATAAAAATAATAAATATATGTAAATGTATAATGTTATGAGATTTAAGCTATTTAGTCTAAACATTTATGTTTTCGTGTTATAATTTGTTGCCATTTTAGAACAAAAGAGGCATAACTTATATTTATTTCCTATACTTTTTTTATGTTGGTTACAAGATCGGTCAGATCTACCGAACCCATATAGAGATTTGATAGTGAAAATATCAGATAAGATATAAAGTATTTTCTTAAGAAATACTTGATAATTATCTGAAGGTTATAAAGATTTCGCATGTGAAATTTGAAAATTTTCTGATGCATAAAAATATTTTTAATCTTAAAATGAAAATTACTCTGCATGTTGGATAGGCAAAAAGAAAAAAAGGCATGAGAAAAACATTGCTCAACAAACCTTAAGACTTAATAAGAAAATTTGGTATTTTGCCTATGAAGGCATTGTAATGTTTACTGATAATCTGCCAAATTTCGTTATCATATGTTTACTAATATAAAAGTTATAGCATGAAAATTATAACAAGCACAAAATGGTTACGAGATCGGTCCCATGTACCGAGCATGTGCCGAAACACTTAAGTGACAAAGCAGGGCAGCCACCACATCATAATCTTATTGGTGGTAAATAACTTAAGCATTTGTTACACAGTAAATTATGGTGGTTCAGCCCTATTTAACAGAAATAAAATTCATAATCACTGTACATACAACATCTATTTGTTTCTTAATTGATAACCTGCAGTACGGAAGGTACATGAAACTATTTACTTCATGCATGCTAAATATGACAGAGCAGTAAGGTATATTGTATCTCTCATCTTATAAACCCTAATTTCAAATGTGCATTTCATTGAAAGTAAATTTTAAAAAAGGCACATGTGACAAGGTAATGCTGTCGTAAAATTTAGGTTATCAAAGAGAGAACTGATGTGCAGCTATGAATTTAACAAGATTTAGAATTGTAAATTACATTTTTGGAAGAAATAATTATAAAATGAGATCAGATTGGTTTCATATTGTAAAGTATTTAGATAAAAAGATTCCTAAATGAATGTTTTGTTAATTAATATTAACTTTTGATCAAAGCAAACTATCTGCATAATTGTTACTAAAAATCAACCTGGTAATGAGTATAGCTAATTAAGTCTGCTTTTCTTATGGTTCCACTTATAAAGATTACAATGCAATGTTTGATGTAAGTGTAAGAAATACCAAGTGTGATGTTTATGCTCTAACAAGTGAATTTAAAAATTGTATTGTAAATTAATCATATGTGTGTTAACACTGGACTAAAGGTAAAAGCTTAAAAGGGGAAGGCACCAGGTTTATTTATTTAAATAAAGCTGCCATTAGGTTAGGAATATCTGATGCACGGGGAGGTGTATTATTTATTTCGTAAAATATATGTTTCAGTTACAACTTTACAGCAAAGTTTTGTGTAAGTTGACAAACTGAAAAGGGTCTATATAAAACAAGTTGGCTAGAAATGTAAAAATGAACAATTAGGATTTCTTTAAACACATTAAGGATTAGTAAAATGTTAGGATTGAAATAGGGCTTGTGAGGGATGATAAAGGAAGGTTAGTTTCTGATGATATGAGATGGCTGGGTTATTGAATTTTGCATTTCTGCAATTTTTACTAATTAAGGTTTAAGCAGTATTCCTTATCTTGAACATTTGATGGATAGAAAAAAGATTGAATAAGATGGTAATGTTAATTTTAAGCTTTTTAAGAAAAATTGGA